AAGTTAAGTCAGAGAAAATCCAGAAAACTCTTACCTGTTCGGTAATTGAGAAGGAGAGCTGTCCTTCAGTGATGCTTCCTTATGTGGATCTGTAGGAATATTTTGAGGTAAAGCAGAAGTCTTAGCTTCCAAGAAATGAGGAAGAAGGATCTATTAATGAGGCTATTGCTGCACTGTACTACGATATAACGGAATCTTCCCTTTAACCCTTTTAACTCCCAAGATCTCATAAGTAATTCTCCTTACTGTCTGTCAAATGATTCTCATTATGTTAGTTTGGAGAATTTGGTATCGGATCAATCAGTAATCCCATAACTAATATTTTTCTATATTCTCATTACTTGTCTGCATGATATTTTATAGATATAGTAAGGAGAAATTCTATCTCGGTCACTCACGGTATTCAAAGGGTTAAAGTTCATTTATCGTATGTGGTCGGATTTTCAGGGATACGCATTGACTCAACAGGGAGGGCTAAAGAGCGTCTCTCAGGGTCTGCACGGAACGGAAATGCTTCAGCAAAGTTTGAATGCAGATTTGACTCTCTCGGTTACTACCATGTGCATATCATTTGCCAAGTCAGGTCTAAGAAAATAAATTACCAGTTTCAGCATCATGGAGGAACTTTGACCAATTGCAGACTTCAGGATTGTCATGATCGCGGTAAAAGCTAAGAATTTCTTCCATTTGTTCATCAGTTAGAAGATTCTGAAATGCATCCGTGAAAACTTTTTTAAAATCACTAGGACTGACATTTCCCGTCCTCAGCGGATCATATTCATGGAAATGGTCTTCTGCCTTTAAATGAAAACTGAATATCAGTGGATGATTCACGTCCCGTAACGAACATGTTGAGCATGCGCGCACATTTACCGGAGCACTTTCAATCTCGATAAAAAGTACCACAATATTCAACTCAATTTTAAAGCATCTAACGCTGAAAATAAAGCATGATGGAGTCTCTACAATACAGTGCAATCTGGAATTGTCTTACTAATTTTATCCTCTCAGCGTTTCAAAAATTCCGTTGGACGAAAATGTGCCAAAATAGAGAAAGATGTTTTTCGTCTTGTCAACTCAGAAATTT